ATGTGGCTTATACACTAGCAAGTGGAAACAGCTAATATAGTAATGGCAGTAGTTTATGTAGCCATTCTTGGTAGTCTAATGATCACTAAATATGCCAATTAAAATAGTTAAGTATTAATTCAGTGGAACGCAAAGGTCATGTTTCAGTAATATGTCAAGCAGCCCAACTGAATAAATTTTGCAAAAGTATTGATACTATATTGTATATAATGAACTTTGATGCCAAAGAGACCAGGGTACAGATACTTCGTTTCCATTACCCAAAATGGTGGCTGAGCATATAGCTCTATTTTTGGTTTTAAAACCTGGAGCTATGACTGCTTTCTTTATTTTCATGAAGGGAATGCTACCATAGAATTTCTTGAACATTAATGTTCTGATATTTATCACCAGCATTATCTTTCTGGATTGATTGATTCAGTAGATGAATTGTTCTGCCAGTTAATATTTTCCATGATAGCATATGAATGAGATTCTATACATTGCATTACTTTCTATTCCATGCTGTTACAGCATCTGCAAAAGATGCTGTCTAGAATTATGACTAGTAATAAGCATTTGGTTGAAGGTGACTGAAATGAAATCCATTTCAGCCAAAATGGATTTTTCAGTTCAGATGTAGTGGAAAAGGCTATTCTAGAGTGGGTTTAATGAAAGTCAGAGTTTTAACAGCAGTATTAAACAATATTAAGCTTATGTGAGAAAAATAGGAGGAAGATTTGTTGGATATGTTCACTGCCTTGATTATTTGTGAAAACAATAAAGGAGGGATATAAATAAAATTCCTGGCTTAAAAGTTTGTTCATTTTCTTGACAGAACACTCAAACCACTATTAAGCTTTTCCAAGAATGTTGCCCTCATTCTTCTGACAGAGTGGTACTAATTGGTGGAAAACCTGATAGAGTTGTGGAATGCATCAAAATAATACTGGATCTTATATCAGAGGTAATTTAATCTAGAACACCTTTGCATGCATATCCTCCTCTCTTTATATATAAAGTCTGTTTAGAATTGAATATGAAGGCATATAGTAATGTATAGAAAGCAAAGCTGTTTAGCTGATATAGGATTAGATTTTTAAAGTAACATTTCTGAAATAGATGCTATCTGGTCAGTACTTTTATTGCTGTTTTATTGTTTCTGTGTAATAATACAATCAAGATAGTATATTAATAAGCCAATGCAATGCAAAGTTTATAAAGGTTTAAAATGAGATAACTGAATATATTGAATTGTTTCTGTTTCTCTTTTTTTATATTAGTCACCAATAAAAGGACGTGCACAGCCTTATGACCCCAATTTTTATGATGAAACTTATGACTATGGTGGATTTACAATGATGTTTGATGACAGAAGAGGGCGTCCTGTGGGGTTTCCAATGCGGGGCAGAGGGGGCTTTGATCGAATGCCTCCTGGCCGTG